TAGAGAGGGCACTAGGTTCAGACCATGTCCTGAAGGGACAATTGACTGAATATCAAAAATTCAAAATTTTCTAGTGAGATTTTATTTCTTTTGAGCTTTGAGATCTCCAATTTGATTTTTAAGATCAGTTAGTTTAATCAAGCAAGATTTTTCTCTGCAAAGACATCACGCGTGTGTGCAATGGCTGTGCATGTGGCACAAGATGCAATAAACTTGACTCTCCTATTTCTCAAAATGATCAAATTGACCATTTTTCATCTGTTAAAACTAAATCTTCCAAAGCACTCAGTTTCTTGCTCTCCTAGGACACAGGCAGACCACTTTGCAAAGTCTGTAACAACAGTTATTCATGTATTTTCTCCAATGTGAATAGCAGAACATTCTGACGCATAATCTCGAAAAAAACTTAATCAGAATCTGCCGATCTGGGTTCAAAAACCAGTTCTGTCACCGGTACAACCTTGGAATAAATTAAGTTCTCTGGGTCTCAGTTTTTCATTCCTAAAATGAGGATGATAGCTCTATGACCACTAATCTCCCTTCTAACTTAAAAGTCTCCAATTTAACTCTGGAGAAAAAGTTTCCACTAAAGAGCTGGCAATGTACTAAAGTCTGAGTCTAAACAATTTAAATTCTTCTTTCTCTTCTTTATAATAATGACCTAAACAGGAAATAAATAATTGGATACATTTTACCATATGAGAGCTTTATGAGCTGAAGCAAATGCCTTAGGGTTAATTAACTGCAGACTTTTAGCACTGTGGCTAAATCCTGGTCCAAAGCTGGTGATGGCCAAGAGAGATGACTGCCGTAATAACTTTCCCAAGGCTTCTTCTGTGTATTGAAATTACAATAAAAGCAATTTTAACAGCAGTTATTAAACCCCAATGCATCCAAAAGTTCCAAGAGCTCTGTATATGTGGTCTCATGAAACCCCCCCATCTATGTTCCCATTTCATAGCACATAGCATGAGTCTAATTCCATACTTAACTCCTGCAGAAGACCTGAGCCTTTGTGAATCAAGCCATCTTGTCTGTTTTAGAAGGCTTTGTAGTTCTCTCTGTTTTCCTTTTAATCACTATTCAGATTTTCATTAGGGTGCCCCCCCAACACACACACACACACACACACACACACACGCACACGTGCTTTAGGAGACATCAGTCCAACCCAGGCTCTTAAGACGAGCATGTGACTAAATCAACACTAATCGCGGTAAACGCCGGCCACCACGTTTGGCGCGAGTGTGGACATACAAGCTGGGGGCTTCTGGGAAACAGGCTCCCTAGCTCTTCTGTTAGAGTTTCTCAGAGAACAGCCCTCTGTCTCCTCAGACATGAAAGAAAATGTGCTACTGGCACTCATTTTGGAATCACGATGAGATACTGAGACCCCAAGAGGCTTTAGCGCCAGGCTGCAGCCGTGGAAGTCAGAGCAGAGAGAAGAAAAAGAAGTGAAAGGAAAGGAACCAGGTCCTTTGACATCCCTGCACTGCTGTGCCAAACCAGCCCTCCAACTTGCCTGACCTCAGGACTTAAGTGCACATGAGTCAATAAATCTCCCTTACTGCGTACGCTACTTTGAAATGGATTTGTTCGTTTGTTTACTACTTGCAACTGAATATATCTTTAGCGTCCACCACAGTACACAGAATATTTATTGGTCAAATTTTTCATATAAACAAATATTTATTAAGTACCTACTCTGTGCCAGGCACTATTCTAGAAGCTAGTCTATAGCTCTGAGGAAAACTGACAGAAACCCTTGCCCTCTCGGAGCTTAGATTCTAGTGGGAGAACCAGACCATAAATAAGGCGGCTGAGCAAAATACATACCCTGCTGGATACTGATACATTTTAAGGAGGAAAAGTACAAGAGGGAAGGGCAAAAGGAAGTGTCAGCAGGGACTCAGAAATCTCTGAAAGGTGGCCAGGGAAGCCTCAGTGAGATAAAGACTTTGGTTAGAGGCCTGAAGGAAGTGAGATGTCAGAGGGAAGGCATTCCAGGCAGAGGGAACAGCAAATACAGTGACCCTGAGTCCAGATGAGGACTGAACTGAGGGTACCAGTCCCAGCCTCATTGGTCATGAGGGCACATTTAGAAAAATTGCAGCTGAGAGAAAGTATGAAAAAGGGCCAATCTGTTACTTGATGAAGAAGGCTCGCCCCCCTATTTTGAGATAGTATTTTAGGGGGTGGAGGTGAGATGGGCTTGTCTGTTCTGACTCTACCCATGCCATCCTCCCTGCGTTACCTAGAGGACACAATTCACTACGCCTCCGTTAGAAGAAACACCACCCTCAGTATTTCCCACTTCTATTGTTCTCACAAAAGTACTCCAATGAAAACATCACGTGATAAACTGCATTATCATTCATTCATTGACTTAACTGAAACAAGAGTCAAGTATTTCCTAGAATATGATGAACTTTATGCTGGGATCCCTAATAATCCAAGAAACTTGACCCAAGACCACACACAGAGACCCCCTTGCACAGATACATTGCAAAGAGGAAGGACCCCTCCCTCAGCCACACTTTCAAACCGGAACTATCACACCTTCCTAATTACAAATCATCACATTCTTGGCTTTATTGTCGTTTGAATGGGCTTTTAAATGTTGCTAAGCACTCCTTGAGACAAACCACGCCTACTCACAGTTGAATTTCAAATTTCTTATGTTGACACCCCAAACTCCACATGTCCCAAGAAGCATTCATGTCTCCTTTTGTTTTAAATATTTTTCCAACAAGGTGGGAAAGAAGGAGAGAGAACAAAAAGAAATGAAAGGAAAGAACCAGGGGGCAGATTTCTGTTTCCAAGAGAAAATTTCGCAACAGGCTGCACACCCAAAACAACATTTTAGGTCAAAACAAACCGCATATCCACTTTTCGCCTTCTTGTCGCTGTGTCTCCAGGTGATAGATGGTCTGCCTCTGTTGGTGCCCTGGCAGAGGAAGCATAATCTCTTTACAAATGCACAGGCTATTGCCGTGGAAATGAACATGAGGTAATAAATATATCATTATGAGCGCCATCGTATCTGGTAGGTGGGTAATGATAGCACTTTGCATTTAGAATCCTTTGGTGATTTATAAAACATTAACTTAGTAATCCTCCCACTGCCCTAGGGAGGAGAAGGGTGGTTTTACACCAGTTTTGCAGATGGGGAGACCGAGAGAGCAATTATGAGATTTCCCCAAGAGCACTGAGGGAATGAGAATTAAACGCCATTCATGCAGAGCTCTCAACCCCAGATTTAGTTGCTTAATAATGCCATGGGGCTCTCCCCACCCTCAGATGGCAAAACACCTTCGCAAAACGAAGTGCAGAGAAAGTGACAGAGCAATAAAGCATATACTGTATTTCAAAGGCCCCTCCGGGCGGAAAACCTTACTTTTCTATTTACATAAGGTAGAACTTTGTGAAAGATAGAGGAAGGAAAATATGCTGCAGAAAACGTTCTGAAAGAAAAGCTGGATCTAGTGCCTTGCCAGGTGTGGATCTCTACAAGTATACAGGGCTTTCACACTAGACTCCTCCCCCTGGCTCCACCCTCTGAGCCTTCTTTCCAGTTTTACAATGAAAGGCTTCTGTCTACTTCCACAAAGCCAGCTCCTCCATCCGCACCAGCCTGCCCACAAGGATGCTGTCCTCTTACGCATCTTCAACTCACTTCTCCCATATAACCTTCAAAAATTATTCATCTTAAAAACCAAGTTGCGATTGGATGAATTATCTTTCACTTGACCTTGCCATCCCTTTTAGGTTTCTTGACAATTCTTTCTCCCACTTCACTGCCAAAACCCTCCAAATCTAACCATTGCTCAACTTTCTATCAAAACACCTCTTTTGTATCTTGTTCTTGGACACAGCAATGATTCTGCTCTGTGGAAGATTGCCAATGACTCTCTTCTAATCAAATACAATGGAATTTTCTCCACCCTCACATTTCTAAGCCTCTATATGCTCCCCCAGCAATGCTGCCAACCACCAGCTCTTTCATCCTTTTGCTTCCATTTTATGATCTCTTGACTTCACTGCCACACTGACTGCCGCGCTTCCCCACCAACTCAAGGTCTTTACGTGGGGGTCTCCTCTAGGATGCTGGCCTGATGCACTTTTCTCCGTGAACTTTAGGCAAAGTGTTTTACATCAGTACTTTATTTCATCCTCAAACTCACTCTACGACATAATATTATGCACATTATATAGATGAGAGATCAAACTTCAGGGAAGTTAGGAAATGTGCACAAGTTCATTTAGTTAGCAACCAGTTTCACTAGCTCCAAGCACTACACAGTCATACCCCACATACCCATGTATTTGGACTTGGCATTCAAAAAGCAAGCTCCACTCAGTAGGCTGTTGTAGCCTGTACACAGCTGTCTCTCAAGGGATACTTCAAGCTGTGCCAGAATTCTTCCTCTGCCCGTGCCAATTCCATGGGCGGCGGGAGGGACACAAATGTCACTGAAGTCTCTAAAACTGCTTAAGAACAAGGACTATGTCAGCCACTACTATATCCCCAGCACACAAAGAGGGTCTGGAACGCAGATGACATTCCAGAAATAGCTGCTGTTGAATGAAGATTATGAGAATTGCCAAAATCAGGGATTTAAAAGTCAAGAAGCCAAAGCAGCATGGAAGCCTTTGTGGCTGAGGGTGTCCCACCCTCTCAAGAGCTCTCTCTGCCGGGCAGGTAAAACGCCCCCCCCTCCCCCCCGATCTACAGGCCTCGGCCTGCCTCCGCCCCAGTCCCTCCACCCAGAAAGTCTCTCCTCGAGGTCCCAGCAGTAACTAAATGCCATTTCACAGCTCCGAAACTGCTACCTCAAGGTTTTCTCTGATCATCCCAGCCTGAAGGGCTGCCTTTCCACTGACCTCCTCAGTCCCTCGAAGCACTTAGACTCATAAACTTCAAGAGGCCTTAAAACAGAGGCCTCCATCCTCATTTTACGGAAGAAGAAAGTGGACAGTTGTGTAAAGCACCCCCCCACTGTTTTTGTTCTCTTTTCATTCTTATTTATTTATTTGTATTGACGTATAGTCAGTTTACAATGTTATGCTAATTTCTGGTATACAACATAGTGACTCATTTATATCTATATATGTATACATAGATATATTTATGTATATTCCTTTTCATATTTTTTATTGTAGGCCATTACAACATATTGAATATAGTTTCCCATGCTCTACAGCAGGACCTTGTTGTTTATCTATTTTATATACAGTAGTGTGTATCTGCAAATCCTGAACTCCCAAATGTAAAAGCATTTTGTCCAAAGTCATAAAACTAGTCATAGTCCAAGACAAGACCTGAATATAGGTCTTCTGATTTAATTTCTACTCTTTTTGTGATCCTCCATCGCCTCTTGTCCCCTCCACTCACCCCCCTTACAGGCCAGCCCTTGAAGAAAGGCATCACGGGCAGCCATTACCATCACCTGTAAGCAGCCATGTTGCTGCTTTGGGTCTGCGGGCATCAGTTTAAACAAAGAAGCAGGGTGAGTGCCAGAGGGGTGACATTTGTCAACAAGTGTTCAAAAGCATCTACAAAACTCAGCGTGGAAAGGACTTCAAAGGGGAGACCAGCTGTCCATCCCAAACCTGTATCTCCCCCGTTCTCCTTCACAGAAATCTCCCAACGTGCAAAGGAAGAGTCTTTGATCACTGGTACGGTAATTCCAAGTCACAAGTTAATAGTGGTTAATAAAACATCATTATGGCCTGAGTCAATATGCAGAAGTTACATGAAATATTCAGTGAAAGAAACACTGCCAAAGAAAGAGTATTTCAGTAGGATGTTCACACATTCTTTTAAAACATCAGTTAAAAAGTTGTTAAAAAAAAAAACTAAAAGGCACCTTTAAAAGAAAAGTTCTACAAATCAAACAAAATTGCAAAAATGCTCCAAATCGTTGTAGATGTGCATTTAAGGAAAAAAAGAAAAGGGAACAAAAAGTGCCTATTATTATGTCAGGCTCTGTGGACAAAGAGACAAAAAGCCATGATTCTTGGCTTCAAAGAGGCCAAGCGCTTACTGGGCCCTCTGGACATCAGTTTATAATCTAACATTCCCCTGTGATAGATGAGAAAACTGAGGCCCAAAGAGATAAAATGACTTGCCTGAGGGTATGTACTGTGTTAGCCTGGATTAAAGTAAGTCTCTGTAGTAACCAGTACAGAATTCTTTCCTCTCTACTCCATTCCTTTCGGCAAACTAATTGGCATTTGTTGTGAGTGGTGATCCATCCACATTATTTGCTTAGTATGTGAATAGTAACGTTGTTTTTAAAACATACATCACCCAAACAATTATACCCACAGAAGCCGTCTGCTGACTTTATTATTATTATATGATGTATATAATATTGTTATCATCTCTATATTAGAAATTATTTTCAGAAGTAAATAAATGGGTACCATATTTGAGTGAACATTGATGCCAGGTTGCAGGAGGAAAAAGTTCAGCAGGAGGAAAAAGTTCAGCATGAGGCACCGTGACACCCCAGGAGTGATGCTCAGTGTGGTCCCACAGCCCACATTCAATCGGGCTTCAAGACAATTACCTTATGTCATCAGATGTTCTCAGATACTCGTTCCTTTGGAGGCAAGCTGCACTGCTCATTGGTGCCCACAGTCTATCTATGACCTGTCACTGAGCTGCCCACTTATGGACCATGACCACAAGGTTAGTTCTGTGCATTTCATACACACAGTCCTCACTTTTCTTCCAGCTACAAGAACAAAGTCAATTGACTGCACAGCCCCAAAGAACTTACTGCCAACCAACACACACAAAATACTGACCCTCTTGCAAAAGCCTGTGTGTGTCTTGGGACCGGTCGCATAATGTGCTTGTCCTCGGCATTAAAAAGTCAGGGCTGTAACATTCTTTTCTTTTCTGAATCATTTAGCAACAGCAGGGAAAATGGAACACCACAGATGTCAAAATAAAGAAAAAAGCAAGGCTCTTTCAGTGCCCCAGCTGCTTAAAGGTATTTTCTGGTCCTAACTCTAGAGTAGCCCCATTTACCCTGTGGAATTAAACGTGGAGACCTTGTTAACAGTAATGGGACATAAGAACTGAATTCCCTGCATGCTGTGTTCAAATGCCTCTTCCTGAACTCTATTCTTCTCAAAAGGGTATTGTCCTAGTAATGACTTGGGCCATTTAAGCTACGCTTTCTATTTAAAGAAAAAAATACAGTAACTTCCTGTTTATCCAATGGCCTGACTTCTATCATCTTTAACTCTTAGGAAGATGGCCTTCCCAGAGTCTGTGTAAAGCAGCCTGTCTTTGCCACACATAACGGCCGATGAAGCCCATGCAATCTGTTCCCCTGGAGAGTACCAGACACTCGTGGGATGTCGAAGGGCTGACTGGAGTTTACTGATTCAACAAGCCTCCCTAGTGAATCCTGCCACTGAGCAGCTGACTGCTCCCCAGCCGGGAGCATTGTGATCCCACTGATCAGCAGGGCTCGTGCTCGCCTCACCCTTCTCTCTCGAGTCTTGGCTGATTTGCCCCTCCTCCGTGAGACCTTTCCAGACTACCCCACGTACAAGTGCATCACTGCCCGCCCTAGTGCCCTCAGCACCTTCCCTCACTTCCTTTCTCCCCACGGTTTTTATCACCTGGCATACTAGGTATTTACTGTTTATTGTTTGACTCCACCCAACTAGAGCCTGTGCTCTGCTGGTATCAGAATTTTTTGCTGCTTTATTCACTGGTCTATTCATGGCACCTAGGATAATACCTGATGCTCAGTAGATTTCTCAAATGATAATTGCTTAATAAATTAATTAATTCAATGATGAATGAAAATCACTATCTGACATCCAATATGGGTGAAGGATGCAAGGAGAACCACGTTAAATGTAATTTCTAGTTTGGATCTGTTCCCAACGGCATTTTTCTGCAACTTTTTTTTATTATGGTAATGTACCATAACATAAAATTGGCCATCATAACCTATTTTAAGTGTACAGTTTAGAGGTATGAAGTACTACATTCATAGTGCACAATCCTCACTACCATCCAACTCCAAAACTCTCTTCATCTTACAGAACAGAACCTCTACACCCACCAAACAAGAACTCCCCAGCCTGTAGCCACCACCCTCCTGCTTCCTGTCTCTGTGAATCTGCCCACGCTAGGTTCCACATCTAGTAGAGGCATACTGTATTTGTCTTTTAGTGCCTGGCTTGTTTCACTTAGTATAATGTTCCCTACAATTTATCCATGGCGTGGCACATATCAGAATGTCCCTGCTAAAAAGGCTGAGTAATACTCCACTGCATGTATAGACTACATTTTGCTTATCCACTTATCTGCCAAGGGACACACAGGTGGCTTCCACCTTTTAGCTCTTGTGTTCAATGCCACTAGTACCACATACATACAAATCTCTCTTAAAGACCCTGCTTCCAATTCTTTTGAAAATACCCAGTTGTGGAACTGTTGGATCATATCACTTGTAATCTATTTTTAATTTTCTGAGGGACTATCAAACTGATTTCCACAGCAGCTGCATGGTTTGACATCCCCACCAACGAGACACAAGAGTTCCAGATTTCTCCGTATTCTCGCCAACGCTTGTTCCTTTCTGTCTTAAGTCACTTTGGACCCTCAATCTCTCATTTAAACCATCATTTGTTGGACTCTGCCATAAATAATAACAAACACATTATTGAAGCAAATACGAAAAGGGAAAAGGAATGAAAGGAGACTCAAGGGGAAAAGCTATAGTAACACAGCCAAGAGTACAGAGTCAAGAGGGGAAAAAAATGAGACTGAAGAGATGAAATAAAATAAAACGGGTCCAGGCAGTAGTGGAGCACACTCAGAAAGCCAGCAGCCTTGAGCGGTACGCACAATAACATGCCAGTGCTATTTTGTGACTTGTCATTTTTCTAAATCCTAAAAATAGAGAGAGGGCACCGCTCTCTGGCTTCCCTGGTGGGCTTGGCTCCGAAGCTGTGAGCTGCTCCAACCTGTCCTGAAAAAAAAAATGGTTTGCTTGAGGCCAAGAGAAGCATGACAGGCTGCATCTTCACTCGATTCCCTCCCCCGCACCGTAAGCCGCTCAGCGTGGGTTGCTGCCCTAAGGGTCGTTTGGACCACACACCCTCTGGCTGAGACAGGGATGGTCCCCAACCCCCCCTCACACCAACAGGCAGGGATGATACCTGCCGCCTCCGAACCACACTGCATTTTTCATATAACCAAGTCAAAGGGACCACCTGCTTGAAGAAAAAACAAGCCTCTTAATGAGAAGATACCCTAAGGTTTTGGAGAATTCACAAGCAAGAACTCTCTGGACACAGTTCTTCAAGAGTTCATCAAAATTCAGAATCAAATGACTACAATCTGAAGGTATTTTCTGACGCTTTCTATGTCTCTAACATCTCAGCTATTTGAATCTCCCGATCCTTTAAAGGTTTTCTTACACTCAACTTATCAACCAGAATGGGAAAATAAATGCCAAAAGGGGGAAAACAAATGCTAGCTGATCTAGGGAAGACTCTGCATTTTAAAGGACAAAGAACTCACTACAAATATATAAATATGGAAAACTACATCTCATAAACAAGGCAGGAGATGGCTGGAACACCTCTGTCTAGTTACAAAGTATTTATACGTAAAATAATTACACTGATACTGCCAAGATATGTGTTAACCTTAGTGTTAACACTTCTTCGGGCGCTTGCTTTTCCCAGAAATGTCCTTTAATGAGTCACACTTGAGAAACCCCGATCTTCCCCTGAGTGAATCCCTACACATGTGTATTTCCTGCTTGGGGCTGGTCTGAGCTTTGCTCTGTGACTCACTCTTCATCCAAACTAAGGCAAAAACCACCATCACCTTCCACCATAATAACGGAAGAGTAAGCACATGCATATGATAGACCCAAATGAAGACAAGAGAGGCAGCTGGATCTTAATACTTCTCCAGTGTGGCAAAGGTTATAATAATGCATCCAGAAGAGAGGGTATTTCGCAGCTGTGAACAGTTAGATATTTTTAAGTAACTCTGCTAATTTGGGCAATGCTCATGAAATAAGTACAAACAATTAAAGGATTACCTGAGAGCTGCAGTGTGATTTCCACAAAGTAGTATACAGATGTAGGCACAGAAAACTTCCAGCAGGTTTAAATTATGGATGGTTTTTAACTTTTTCTTATTCTTCTGAATTTGTCTATGTTACTACAATATGCGTATATTACTTTCATAAATACAAAGAATCTCTTTTATAATTTTATTAAACTTGCTGTTGTCTTTACGTATCTTGCTGTGGGCTGTGACCCCTCTCTGAGGACATTTCCCAGCTGCCAAAAATCCCATCCTGGAGTTCAACCTAGACCAAACTTCTGACCTCTCACTCCTTTTCCTGAAAGCACTTTGTCCTGTGGCTGCCACTAAGGACTAACCAGATGCCAGACACCAGAGCTGAAAAATGCCAAAGGTGTTCTCAGTTTAGGGGGCTTCCTTTCTCAGAAGAAAATCTTCAGTGCCTTCAGGGAGCTTACAGAACATTTTCCAAAGCTCTGGTCTCCAGCAACTTACAAACAACTTCAGCTAACGACTCCCAAGGTGATATTTTTTTTAAATAGAGGAATGAATTAATGCTAGTTACAGACCCTTGTGAATCTACTTTTTGTCAGTCTTCTGAACCCATAAGCCCAAAGCGTTTGACTGTGGGCTTGTGTTCGCAGAGGATCTGGATGCTGTCTACAGAGACTGAGTTTCTAAAGGGAAGCAACTCTCCAAATGTGTTTCAAGGAGAATTGGTGTCCCTGAAAATGCTTCAAGAGCCACTTGGTGAAAAAAAATGGGGAAAAGGAAATTTGTGAACAGGCCTTCGGGCTTCAACACTGAGCACCTCCTCAGAATCAGTCATTTGGTTGGGCTCTTTCATGTGTTTAGACCTTAAAACCCAGCCTTCTCTTTTGGTGTTACAAGCAGAGACATGGAGCACTTCCGGAACTGCCCCAAGATCCCAAAGCACAGAAGGACAGAGCTGCTGGTTAAATGGGATTCTCTCGGCCCCAAGGCCCAGGCTCTGTCTGTCCTTCTAATAATGGCTGATGTCTACTGAGTCTGCAGTCCATATTGCATTAGGATTTTAAAGACATCTTCAGAAGAGCTCCGAGGAGGCTGCATCTGAGCCTCTGAAGTTAGAAGGCCTGCATTCCTAACCCAACTCCAACACTTCCGAGGCCTGTGGCTGAGGACAATTCTGTAACTGCCCTGTATCTCAAGTCAGATTCCTCATCTGAAAAACAGAGGCAGTAATAGCTAACATTTGTTGACTAACTGCTCTGTGCTGAGCTCTCTTCACTTCATAGTTATTATCTCATTTATTCCTCCCAAGAATCTGGGAGGAAGATGTGTCCATTTTCAAGAAGTTGATTCAAGCTGAAGCTCCTAATAAACACCTGGGGTTGGAGCAGGAACCCAGGTCTGTCTAACTCAGAGTCTTTGGATTTTCACCCTTCTACCAGCGTCACCTCCAGGTCACATCGTAGGTCAATCAACACGGAGATGGATCTATTTCCAAAGCACCAGGCATCCTATTACTTCCTCATTCTCTTATTCCATATCCTACCCAACATGGAATTCAAACTCCTTCAGACACCCTCCTGTGGAAACACGCTCTCTCTACTACAAAGGAATTAATACCCTCCTTTCTCCCAGCACTAGTGCTCTTTCCACAGCATTTATTACCTCAGCTGTATGCCCTATAAAATTATTCTTCTAAAATGTAAATTGTATGTCCCCTAAAGAGACCGTAATTTCTGAGAGGTCAGGAATCATGTCTTACAGAATCACAGAATTAGAAAAGTAGTACTTTGCAAGATTATGTTTTGTTTTAATAAGCTGAACTCTCTTCAAAAGAAATCTTACTTGGACTCCCAGCTCCTCTGACTGAGAATGACTAAGGTCATTAAAACTTCATCTTTCAAGGTTCAAAGGAAAATGTTGAGACAGTGGCATTCATTCTGCAAGCTGGTGTCAAGGGTAGAGCTATAATCTGCTGCCTGATTCTCACCCAGTGGTGGCTTTGCTATGGAAATCCGGGGACTTTTCTGACTCCCCTGAGCATCTTTCTTTGACTTTGGCCACAGTCCAGGAGGAAAAAAACAAAAAAACAAAAAACAAAAAAACAGTTGGACTAACTGCCTTGGATCTGGAAACCCTGCCAGAAGGGCTTAAGTAAAATAGGGTAGACAGGACCTGCCTATCAGGGCACCTTCTAGGACCCTCAAAGGATAAAAACAGCATCCTAATTGCACATGTCCTTCAACTGCCATATTGGTCAATCAAATTACCTGGGAACACAATGAAGCAAAGTCCTTGTTTTTAATCTCTTTAGTTCAGACTCATCATCTATGTCACCAAGGATGAAAGGCATTAGTACAACCAAGTCATAAACATTTTTTAAAATTTAATTTAGTAGGATGACACTTAGGAGATTTTGGAGGAATAAACTCAATGTCACCTTTATCTCGCATTTTCTGTTTTCTAATATTTTAGTAACAATTTTCTGATACTAACACGTAATGCAGATTCACTGCCTTTTTTCCATTTCATAGAAAATTCGGAAAATACATAAAGTGTAAAGAATAGGTATCATGTACAATCTTATTCACAGACACTCTGTTACCTAATGATTTGGAGGACTATTCTCTGCCCATGTTTCTACGTGTTTGTGTGGACCCATACATCGTTTTCATGTATTTATTATTTTAATTGGAAAACAGCATAACATCCTAGTTTAAATCGCCATCGTACTAGGTAGACAGATACACTACATGGTGAGAATTTTCATTGACACTAAATAATCTTCTAAACATCATTTTAAAATTCACTGTATTTCAATTTATGCATATATTATATTTATTTAATCAAACTTCCATTAGTTCTTATTTAGGCTGCTTCTAGTTTCCTTTCATATAAATAGTATGTGGAATAAATGACCACAGTGAAAATCTTCTCACACAAGTCATTGTGACTAATTGTTTCCTTAGAATAAGCTGCTATAAAAATAAATACTTCTAGGCCTTTGACATATACTGTCAAAGTATCCTCAACAAAGTTTGGATCGATTTACATTCCTATCAGCAAGGTAAGAAAAGGGGCCTATTTCCCAAAACACTTACAGAGACAGGCACATACACAAATTGAGTATAATTAGCATCTAACTGCATTTCTTTTAATTACTCTTATACTTGAAATAGTTTTCAAAGTTTTGAGTATATTTTAATAGATGCTGTCAGCCACCTATACAATTGTTGATCTACAGACACACACACCCTCCTCTTCTCCTTCCTCAACAGTGGAACCCACATTTTGTTTAGATGTAAGATAGCCAAATCCTTTAAAGGAAACTAGGACCTCCCTACCTCAGGGATAACTCTTGATTCAAGGTTCTTCTATTTGCTTTTCTAAGACATCATTTAGTAATAGGTATACTAAATAACTTGGACCGATGAAACATGAAAATAGATCTGCTGGGGATGGACTTCGGACAGTTATTCTTGGTCTTAAAGGAAATCCTCTCTTCCCTTCTGACTTGGAGGATGTGGTTAAGCTGAGATCTGATGCATGGAGTGACTTCAACCGTTTTGAGACCTTGAAAGGAGTTAGATCAACTTCCAAACTATCACGATGAAAATAACAAAGTAAAAAGTTGGAAACAGTCTATGTCACTCATGATGTCATGGAGCAGCTAAATTAACTAATTCTGAAAACAACATCCTAGACTTCTTGCAACGAGAGAATGAATTTATTATTTAAGCCAGGAGAGTTGGGTTCTTCTTAAATTATTCTTTGAACTAAAATCAGCTGAACTGATATACCTACACTGTCTCACTCTGTCCCTCCACAGCTCTACAGAGATGTCTAGAGGACACAGACGAAGAAACAGAGAACTTACATGGTTGTCCAATTCATGAAGTTAAAAAGCAGCACAGCCAAAGCTTGAAACCAGTAGAATTTATACACTAATGTATACACTAGATTTTAATCATGAGAATTTAGAGCTTTCATTTTGGCCTGAGAATAATGAATGTATATTCTCAACTATCTCACATAAAGGAAACATAATCCAAAGATGTTTCACTATACCCTAGAAACTCATGGAAACAGTTACACATATGCATCGACCAAGCCTTTGAGAAAGAAATAAAGAATATATGATAGCTTGCTGGGTTAGTAAAGAGAAAAGGTCCATTCATTGCGTCAACTCAAATGTGGCTGTAAGCCAGGCTGCAAAAGGCTGGCCTCAACACTGCTGTAAGTGCTGAAGCATCCTTCATCAAAACCCTTTATGTGAAATCCCAGCTGTGATTCTGAATGCACAGCTCCAGCAATGGAGTGTACAGAAGTAGTAACAAGCCTTCCGTGATGAATTTGCGTCAAGGGCAACACAGTACTTAACAGGTCTGTGCACAAACACCCCGGGGGCAAGATTCATCATTTATTCTAGCTGGTCTGCAGCAGCCAGTGCGGCTCAGATCCTTCAATACGTGATGGTATTAAAAACAACAACAACAACAACAACAAAAAGAAAAACAAAACCTCTCAGTTAAACTCAACAAAGTCAAACACCAGACAAATCCTCCAAGCTGAAATCTCTAGGTAAACGCCCTTTGATATCCTAAGACTTATTTCCTGGCTTTCACAAACCTTAGCATTATTTTAACACAACTTGGCTAAATGCAGTAGATATCTGGTCTTTGGTTTTCCCAGGATTATGTATGGGAAACTAAACTGGGCCTGGAAAACCAAACATACCATTAATTTTTACCCCATGGTCTCTGTTCAGAGGAGCCTCTTAATTTTTTCCTGTTTTTACCTTTATGTATCAAAAAAAAAATTCTTTAGGTGAAGTCACAGAAATCACAGATGGTATTTGCTATCTTACTTGTTCCCTTTATTTCTTACCTTTGCAGAAAGTTTTTGGCATAAAAATGAGTGCTTACCCGTTACTGCCAAGCACCTGTCTTGGTGCTGCATGCTTTTATCGTAAATCACAAGCAGCCTCCTTTAAAGCTGCTTGCGTATCCAACGGTAATGTCTTATCAAACAACCTAAACACAGGGAGTTTAAGTGGGGATAAACAGAAGTCAGAGACCAATAAATCAAGCAGGTTGACTACTTCAAAACTCAGAGGGTCCAGGGAGTAGAACAGCCCTCCCCAACCCTCAATTTCAGAGACTCCTCCAGCTTCAAAATCCATAATAGAGCAAGAGCAACTCAGGGATCTCTCACAGGACAAAGACTCACATACAAATTCCAAGATCAAAACCTCCCCCGGTGTCAAAGGTCGAAGTTGTAGATTTCACCAACAGAAACTTTCCTAGAAAAACGTACGGAGCCTCATAAATAATCAATACACGGTTATGTCAGGGAACCCCAGCTCCCGGTCTAATGATTAAGTTGTAGCACACTTTCGAGTTCTAGATAATTATCCCCAGTGTTGAATCCTCAGAACTCTTATCCCTTGAGCTGTAATCTGTTTTCACTTTTCAACCAGAAAAAAGTAGGAGAGAGGTAGTATTTCTTTTCTGTTTGATCAACTATCTGTCCCCTCCAGCAGCAGGTGTGGCACCTGCTGTCTCCGGTGCAGCCTTCCTAAAAGGACTGTTGTCACAGCACGGAACTGGGAAAGCAATTTTGGGGTTCCTTCTCTGGAACTTGTCAAAGGCCAACACTCTAGGATGTGAAATACCCAATACCTACCTAGACCCTACTGAGACTTTGAAGAGGGGTTGATCTGGCAAACTTGGAACATCTCTGATGTCGAATGAACCTTTGCATTTTCTCATTTGAAGATGTTGCCTCACGAACCATGAACAACCCTGGGCAAAGAGGTCACTGTCACCAATCTCTTTGGCCAGATTTCGTAACACTCACGAAAGACATTAACTGTATACTGGATACATGAATGAAATAATAAATGAGTAAATGAATGAATGAATAATTCAATAAATCAATATATCACCAAAGCTGATATACCTTCTTTAATTCTAGGCTTACTCGTTTTTGATTGAATGGAAATTTTCAATATGACTACTAACTTCTAAAATGTTAGCATCAGAGTAAATGACAAACTAACATTAAAAAAAAGGAGAAATAAACTAAGGCATATCAAACACACTTCAATGAAAAATAAAATTGGAAAAAAAGGAGAAAAAAAATGACCTCTACATACTTAAAAACCAGCTGAATAGAGGCAGGAGGTACTCACTGATCTGGGAGAGAGACTAGAATGATCTTTGGAAATAAGAATGTCAATGCTGAGAAATGCCGAGTCAGGAACTCGGGGCAAACAAAAGGATGCTTTCAGGCCTGTCAATTTCTCCTAGCAAACTGTATTCTGGAGATGAAGCACCTGAAAAGACACCGTCACACTGGTGGAAGACATCCATTACACACCTCGTTTATTACCCAGGCTAATAACCACTTGGGGGAAGAAGTGTTCTTTGCCAGTAAAGAAATGACAGAGATTAGAGGCGCAGGATCTGCTCTGCCTTGGAGAGTAAAGAGCACATTTGACCTCAGAGGCTAGTTTTCAAGACACCAAGGTGAATGTCAGCGTTGCAGCTTACTACGAAAGTGCCTGATGGAGGCCCTTGAACCTGGTCCAGAGGAGAAAGGACCTTCAAGAAGAATGCTTGTCTCTTAGCTCTGCTCATCCTTATCCATACGCCCGACTGCAAATTCCTACTTTACATGCAGGCTAACATGCCTCGGTCAACTCCAATAGCTCCTCCTGGTCTGCAAAAGCATTCCAGTTGCGCCACCCTGACAACCACGCGCCCTTTTCTTGCTGCATTTTGCTTGAACATCCATCCTAGCACTTAGTACAATGCGATCAGTATCATACTTATTATTTTGAAACTGCTTTCTCAATTACATTGTGAACTGCTACTAAAAAAAAAAAAAAGGATACTGTAATCCGTAGCTCCTCAGGTCAAAGGAAATATTTCTTAAGAATCAGTCCCTTTGGTGTTTCTTAGCACCATTCACCAAGTGTTTCTAGCTCTCAACCCATCCAGGCACACGATAGGACAGCATCTCCTCATCTTCTGGTGGTTGGTTGAGGGCTGGTGACTAGTGACAGTCAATGATTTGGAGGTCAAAGGGATAAGTGTGACTCCCTGGTCAGAACATTTAACAGCTGATGTAAGACCCTCCAGGCTCTCTTTTCCCTGTGTTGGTGACGAGCAATGTTCATAACAGTGACAACTCCACCAGCTTATCTCCCTGAATAACTCTGAGAAGCAGCGCAGCACCCCTGCTGACCAGTGAAAGACATATTGCATGAGCAAGAAATAAAACCTGATTATTTTAAATCACTCGTATTTGGGGTTGTTACTACAGAACATCCTAACCTAACTATACAAAGGCCCTGATAAATATTTTCACACGTGTTATTTGATGTTCACAATAACCTGCAGGTATAGCAGACATGAGCAGCATTTTATAAATGAGGTTTTAAACAATGAGCCCAAGGCCAAGCAGGGTCCTCATTCCCTCTTTCAGTAGTTACTGAGCTGCTCTGTCCCCAGCTTGGTTCTCAGGAGCCGAGACAGAGGAGCGAACAAAAAGGAAAAGGTCTCTGCTCTGAGAGCTTACAGCCTAATAGAAAGAGATACATTTTCAAATTCACATAGAAGCAATAGAAACTCCAGATGGTCATAAGTGATAGTCAGAGAATTAAAATCAGGTGATATGACAGAAAAATGGGCAGCTAATTATATGAAGCAGAGAAAGCCTCTCTGAGCTGATCCTTTTTAGGCCGAGAGCTGAATGACAAGGAAGCCAGTTCGGCAGATTTCAAGAAAAGACTTCCAAGATGGGCCAACAGCCCAGGCAAAGGTCCTAAGGCAGAACAAGCTTGTTGAATTTAAAAAAAAAGTCAAAAGTCATAGTGGACAAGGATGGAAACAGGACAAGATAAAGTCAGAGAGGCAGAAAGGAGAGGTCATACAAGGTTGGTTGGTTTGTTTGTTTTAATGGGGTACTGGGGGTTGCACCCAGGACCTCATGCATGCTCAGCATGCGCTCTCCCGCTGAGCTATTTCCCTCCCCTCCTTGGTTTTCAATCAAAATAAGGAAAATGGATTTGACTTTCTTTGTAATGAAAAACTACACGAGAGCTTTAGGCAGGTTTGTGTGATTCCTCGTTTTAAAACTTTGGTCTTGCTGCTCTGCGAAGAGCATGTTATAGTGGGGCAAGTCCAGGGCAGAAGGTCCAGGATGACAACCACTGCGGAAGTCTCATTTGTTCCATAGAAGATGACACAGACGGAAGTGGACAGCCTTAGGACAGGGTGTGGAGGGTAGGGTCAACAAGTCAGATGTTCAGACTGAAAGTGCAGAGGCAAGAGGAGGAAGGGAGTCAAGTGTCGGCCCAAGCCTTTTGGCTTGAAAAACTGGGTAGACGGTGCTTTCGTTTGCCGAGATGCAGAAAACTGGGAGAGGAGGAGGTCTGCAGAGGTGGAAGGAAATCAGGAGTTCTGTCTCATACATGTTAATACAAAATGCCTGTTAAACACCTATGTGCAAATGTCAAGTTGAATACATGATTCAGAAGCCCAGGAGAAAGATCAGAACTGGATAAAAATTTAGGAGTTATTGACACAGAGATGCTGTAAAGTCATAAGATTGAAAGAAGGCATCTAAAAAGATGATGTAGATGAATAGGAGAAAGGGGTCCAGGGCAGAGCTCCACAGTACTCTAACCTTTAAAGCATCAGCAGGGGAAGAACAGCTTGGGTCACTGCACCATCAGTCAGTGAGATAGAAGGAAAAGCAGGAAATACATTGTCTCCAACGTCAAGAAAACCATGTGTTTAAAAGAGGAAGAAGCAGTCAGCTCTGCTAAATGCTGCTGAGATGAGAAGATAAGACTGAGCAAAATGGAGTCTGTGGTTGACCTTGCTAAATGGGGTCTCTGTGGAAAGCTGAGTCTGCGAGACCAAGTGGAAGGGGTGGGAGAGGGTATGCGAGGTAAGCGCGTGAAAATGAAAACACCAACCACAGACAATTCAGTTGGAGAGACTTGTTGTGGGGGGCGAGGTGGGCACCACTTAGTGGCAGAGCATGTGCTTATTAGCACGCACAAGAGCCTGGGTTCAATCCCCAGTATCTCCATTAAGATAAATAAATATATAAATAAACTTAATTACCTGTCCCCCTCAAAAAAAACTTTAAAAAACAGAGGTGTGCAATGAACAGGGCAGTAGATAAGAAGCAATTCAGGACTCATACAAGATTTTGGGGGGAAGGGGGAATACATCTTCTACCCAATTCTGTGACCTATGAGGGACGTCCAAAGCCCTTGTCAAGACTTCTGACATCCCTGAGAGGAGGCCGCGGTGACCATGATGCATGTATGTCCATACAAGTGTAAGAAAGGATAGGAATGGTTACTTAATAATGGTTCCCTCTGCCTCTGAGGTCATGATGTCCTACACACACGTGGACCATTTCTGTTGTCCCCCGTGTTAACTTGCATTCCACTGGGGTAGGAAGAGGTAAGGTCTCACCCAGCGTTCAAGGTGGGAGATTTTGCTGAAGGCTGGAGGGTCATGAGGAAGACTTGCATTGCATACTACACAGCAAACGACCACCGCCACCACCAAGACCCTCACATTACACAGTCCTACCCTTACAGTCCTCCCAGCTATCGTGTCCCCGAGCGCTTTGCGCTGCCCCGTCCTCCACAGCACCCAGCCTTCCGCCCTGTGACTGGTACCTCTCTCCTCCCTTTTTTTCCCTCTCTTCCATTCTAACTTTTCTGTTCTCTCTTAGACAAAGCACACACACACATAAACAAAATAAAATATGTGTCTGTGTGTAGATTTTTTTCTTGCTGAACTTTTTTCTTGTTTTCTTTAATTGCAGTATAGTTGATTTGCAATGTTGTATTAGCTTCTAGTGTACAGCACAGGGATTCAGTCATACACATACACACACACACACACACACACACACACATACATAGACATATTCTCTTTCATTACAGGTTACTACAAGCCATTGAATATAGTTCCCTGTGCTGTACCATAGGACCTTGTCATTTATCCATTCTGTACGTAGCAGTTTACATCTGCCAATCCACTGATACCCCACACCCTTGCCTTTTGCTCCAAACAACACAGTTCTCTTTCTAAAAGTAACTCTGGAGCTGGTTCTTAAAGTAATACATTTTCCATCCTGTTCATATGTATAAACCACCAGGCAGAGCACCTGCCCTTAACAGCCTTTCAGCAAGCACCAGCCCTTGCCTTCCTCCCTCTGTGAAAGAGGAACAGAGGCATTAGGTGTTCTGATAATAATCTCAACCAGCTCTTTTCACCCAGCAGAGCCTTCAACAGGGTTGCGTTGCATGATACTGCACAGCTGTGTCGGGAGGATATTCATGGCCTTCGTCTCATGTCAGGGTTAACAGAAGTCAAGACTTAGACCACTGAGAACAGAGCAATCGTCATCTATAACATCACAGAGTTTAGACTGTGTCTGTTTACAGGTCCAAATGAGTTTTGTCCCCTGAAAATGTTTAGATCTCAGCATGCTATGTTGATGAAATCTGTCTTTTTTTCTTTGGGAATTTTGTTATTGTATGTAAGAGACAGATAAATGAGATGTGACCTACTGCAGGAGTCAGCAACTTGCCTCAGTCTGAGATCACCAGCCCCTTAGTCGAAGAATAATAACTTAGAAATATATAACAACCAATAGCAAAGGGATCTGGACAGACAAGCATGCTTACCCAACTTTTACAATTTTTTGCAGTTCTGAAAAAAACCATTCAAAATAAAATATATTAGGAAAAGATGCGACTCCATTCTGAGTGAAGAATTCATTTTTGCTATGCCAGTGTCGTTAGGACAAAGAGAAAGATGTAAGAGTCAGAGAACCGTACAGCGTGACTGAAATCCTGGGTTCCAGGAGCCCTTTTCTTACAGGTTACAGATTGAGAACGTAGAGATGTTTAATCCAGTAAAAGACAGACTCAGAATCTTACTACTTTAACTATTTTGCATTCACGTCTCCATATTCATAACTAGAATGATAACGGAACCCCAAACCAAATGCCCCACAAAGCCAGCACTGCTCACACAGAGGCACGACCACAGCCTCTGGAGTTCCAGTTGAGCACTGACGGCCCAGTGAGAGGGGAAGTGGGGGGGAGGGAAACTGACAATAAGCGGATGTCAATGAAAAGTCTTGGCTGGCACCCGTACACCCAATCCCTGCCCACCAGGTACTCTTGTTACCGCTTTAAATTTAACCTCTTGTCTTTCTCAATGAGAACAAAGTACATTTTCTCATACACAAAAGCATTTCAATATGATGGAAAGAAAACAATTAGATACTTTTCTCTTTGGGGAACTGATGTCTCTAAGTCCTTCAGTGTTACCACAGGCAAATAGGACTTCAATTTCACATCATACACTCATGCGTGCATGCACACACACAGAGGCAGAAACACTGGGAGTGGGAATAAATTATGCAGACAAAATTTCTCTTATTAACACTTTTTCCCTAAGAAGTGTGACGGTAAAACAACGCAGGAGAAGAACTGGTTAGTTAAAAATAGGACTTTGTGTACATGGAGTGAAGTGTAACACACAGATCTGGTGCAGAGAAGGACTGAATCAGAAAAACAACCTTGTTTCTTAACGCTCACCTGTACAAGAGAAGTCATCCACGCGAATGTATCCTGGGACACAGTCACAGCGATATAACCCGGGCAGGTTGACACACACAGTATTGGCGTGACAGTAATGCATCTTAGCCGCACACTCATCTATATCTGAAGGAGAAAAAAAGCAGCAGTGTCACGGTTAGTCGAATGACGGAACCAGAATGTAACCATCTTACAGTGAAATTAAAAAGGCGAATGCCTAGTGAAGCCAAGAGGAAAAAGCCAGATGCATTCAACACAGAAGCTTAAGTGCCAATTCAGCTGGTGCTCAATTTAGATCTCATCTTGAGCTGCAAATATTTCTATGAAGATGCAGAGTGGGACACACCAGTTATGAACCCAAGAAGTAGGAAGACTGACCCTATTATTATTAATCTTTTACCAAGGAGGACACTTGATTATAATGTCCAAAATCAAGGAGTTCTGTGTCCAGGAATTGATACCAGTGAATATTTATGTGGTGTCCACTGTATATGGTGTTGCTTTTAACAAGAGTGATCAAGGCAATCCAGCCCCTCCCTGCTTGTTTTTCATGCTAAGACACGCTTGAATCCATCTGTTAGAAATTGATGGCATAGCCACTTTCTCCCACGGTGTACTGTGAATACAGACAGCAGCTCTTGTCTAATGCAAATCAATGCCTTTCGTCCCTTGACCTGGAGATGCATCCCCTGTGTTAGCATAATCAGCTGATTCAACAAAGAAATCTTTTTCTCTTTGGAATGGGAGTCAGAGTATCACCCATTTTCTCATAAAAAGTTCACGATAAGAATGAAAATAACCTACAGCCTGAAGCACAGAGATGAATCTTCTATGGAGTTTTTCAAAGATGGCTTTATGTTCATTTTACTCAGACTGCTAATGTGTGGTGGCCAGGGAGAGGGAAGGATATAAACACAGCATGGGAATCCAAAATACAACACATGAGTTCTCTAACTTGAAAAGACCCATGCACCTCCATGTTCATAGCAGCACTATGTACGATAGCCAAGACATGGAAACGGCCTAAATGTCCACCAACAGATGACGGGATAAAGAAGCTGTGGTATATTTATACAATGAAATACTACTCAGCCATAAAAAATAATAAAATAACCCCATTTATAGCAACATGGATGGACCTGGAGATCATCATTCTACATGAAGTAAGCCAGAAAGAGAAAAATACCATATGACATCACATGTAAGTAAAATCTAAATTAAAACAAAAAAAAGACACAAATGAACTTAGTTACAAAACAAAACAGACTCACAGACATAGAAAATAAACTTACGGTTACCAGGGGAATGGTGGGGAGGGCGAAGCTGGGTGTTTGGGATTTGCAAATACTATTATACATAAATAAACAACAAGGTTCTACTGTACAGCACAGGGAACTATACTCAATATCTTATAATAGCCTATAATGAAGGAGTATGGAAAGGAATATATATATAGAGATACAGATATCGATATACAGATATGTAACTGAAACACTATGCTATAAACCAGAAACTAACACAACATTTTACACTGACTATACTTCCATTTTAAAAAAAAAGGAAAAGAAAAAGGAGATGGATCCAATAAACCAAGAATTCTTCAGGGAGAAAAAAAGAACATATGAGTTTTAGTTCCAGCTCTGCTAACTATTAGCAGATGACTTGCAGTTAACCACCCTGCATCCCAGAATCCTCATCAGTTTGTCGTAAGAGTGAGTTCCAAACCTACTGCTTTCCAACTTCAGACGCACCATCTAATTTAACCCACATACAATTTCATGCATGAAGCATAGCACTCCCCTCAATTTTCTAGACGCTTAAAGAAGTTAAATGTCTAGCAGTAAGTCATCTTGTTAGAACACACCACACCCAGGATTTGAACTCAGAAGTCCAACTCTTATTCACCATAAGTTACTTCATGAAAGCGTTTTGAAAATAACTAGTCAAATACAGTGTTACTATTAAGTAATCACTGACACTAGCACTCTTCATGTACAGAAACTATAGATAAAAACAGCTATACTGAATCACTAGAAAACATTTATTTTAAAAGTAAAAGTAGATGGATTTACTTCCTAATAAAACCCCCTGAAATAACATCAGATTCCATTCAGTGCTAAGGATCTGTTCGCCTATAAATGAAAGTGAATATGGGATAATTGGGACCCTGAAAGAAGATTCACCATTAGTAAGATTTCCATAACTATAATGTAAGAAACAAGCGCCAGGAATCAGTGAAATAATGCAGGCAATCAACAAAGCGTTCTACCTGCACAGTACCGTGTGCTTCCGCAACAAATGGACAACAGGAATGCGAAAACTGTACAAGACGATTACATCAAGCCAGGGTGTGGAAGGGACACCCCAGGAATCTGAGCTAGGACAGTACCTGCACATAAGCAGGAGATGTATTTCAGATCCTTCTGGCAGTTAAGGCATTAGAATTCTTTAACCAGTTGGGTCCTTACATCATTTAAGCATTTTGCTTTACAGAAGAGTGGATATCATAAAAGTCAAGAGGAAAGGTGTGTCAGTAAAGGAGTAATGGTCAGCTTTGTCACCTGATGCTGAGAAAGTTGACTAAGATAAGGACAGACAAACATAAACAAGTTCATACTGTATAGCACAGAGAACTGTATTTAGTATCTTGTAATAACTTAAGATGAAAATGAATATACATATATGTTCATGTATGACTGAAGCATTATGCTGTACACCAGAAACTGACACAACATTGTAAATGGACTATACTTCAATCAAAAATATATACATACCAAAAAAAAAAAAAAACCCTGCCAGAATTAAACATTCAATTTGGCAAGAAGTTCACTGCTGACCTTGACCTGGTAAGAGTAGTTTTGGGGAAGTAGAGTGGGGATGGAGGGTAAAGCCTGACTGTAGTCAATTAAAGACAGAAGGCAAGACGAAGGAGACATGAAACAAGGCAAACTTTTTGAGATGTTTGGCCATAAAGAGAATAAAATTGAAGCAGTAGCTCTAGAGAGTCTTGACATATTGAAAGAGAGTCTTGTTTAAAGACTCTCTTGTGATGGAAAGATCACAGCAGATTATACGTTGCTGAGGACGATTCAACATGCATGAAAACATGATCTAGGCAAGAGAACAGATCTTTGCGGGAGTAAAGTCCAGGAAGAGGCAAGAGGAGTTGAGTTCCAGTCCAGAAATGGAGCAAGTTACCTTTACAACAAAAACGAAAGCCAGTGATCAAGGAAGAGGTGGAGATAAGTTGGCATATTGGGTGGTGGGAAGATGAAGTGGTTCACATTTGCTTGTTTTTAATTTCTCAGTGAAATGAGAAGAGAGGGTAACATCTGAGAACTGGAGAGGAAGGAAGTATCGGATGTCTAAAAAGAAGGGAGAATATTAAAGAGTCACTTTGGGAAGAAGGAAGGAGAATTCACTAGGGAACACAGAAGGGAGCTGAAGAGGTTCATGTGATTTGGGCCATAAATGTTAAGTGAGAGCAGTCAGCCTGGCCATGTGTTTTTCTCCAGGCTTATCCAGGTATTTGGGGTAAGGACAGGATATTTGGAAAGTTAGGTGTAATCACAGATGAGTCTTTAGACAAACAAGATGAATAAAAAGAAAAACAAGGGAACTGGGGTTGTAAGTAAAGAGCTGATGGTAATGAGGTGCCAAGGAACCTCAGCCACTGAGGTCAGAAGGGAGGCTCTGACAACAGAGGTAGACCATTGAACTGGACTGGACATGATGGTGGATCTGCAGAGCCCAGATCATTCTTCAGAACTAAAGAATATCACCCCTCCACCCCATCGCTATCTCAAGTACTGCCTGCTAATGACCTTCAGCTGTTAGCATTTCAGAAAAACTACCCTTGCCTGGAGCAAGCTGCCTCACCCTCAGTCGCACTCCCACCCTGAGGGCAACCTTCAGTGAAGACTGGTTCTCCTTTATCTCATCTCAGCATCATCAGGATAAAGGACTATCCCAGACTCAGAGCACTCAGTGAGATGGAGCTAACTCCTCCCTCTGCCCGATCTCCTGTCCTTCCCTTCCCCTACAGGCGTTCATCCCTGATAAACTTCCTGCATGCCAGCCTCAGTTTGCTTCCTAGGGAACCCTAACTGCAGCAGGAACCCTGATAGAGGCCAATAATTATTACAGTGAGGGTACTAGAGTATGTGAGCTGGAAAGCCAGGAGATGGAGTTAGAGAAAGCTAGAGCCACAGAGGGCTAGAGTCAGAGAGTTCTAGAGTCACAGGGTGCTAGAGTCACAGAGGGCTAGAGTCACAGAGGGCTAGAGTCACAGAGCACCGTGCTGACACTAAGATTTGGGAGGGGACTTAGTTTTTGTTCATTACAAGGTCTTTCACAGGAGTACGTGAAGGCGGAAGAAAAGGTCACTGTAAGTAAGAGGTCGGGAACACCAAGAAGAGCCAGGTACTGGAGGGGGCTGGTCAGCGCTAGTATTGTTCACCCAACACCACAGCCCTCCTCCATACAACCACACAACTCTACTTCTCCATCCTCTTCCAAGTAAAGCATGGCTGCAGGATTGAGCCTGAAATCCGAGCAGAGGCTTGCCACCTCCAGGAGGAAACATTAAGAGCCAGCATCCAGCATAACACACTCTCTTCTTCCTGTCCTGGAAAATACGGGAGCACAGAGGCAGAGGCTCCTTCAGCCTGCGTCCCTGAGTGAGGAGCGCGTCACCAGGTGAGAGTGATGAACGTGTTGTATGACCTCAAAACAAGCTTCGGTTGGTTTAAGCCACTGAGCCCACCGGGCCTAGTACAGAGGACGATCGTGAGAGCACCTCAAAGAAGGCGATCGTTAAGCTTGATCTTGAAAGATGACCAGGAATTCTGCAGGCAGAGAAGACAGGTGGGGGGACAGAAGGTGAACGTTTCGTCTCTGCAGAGTTCCGGAGGGAGGGGATCATTTAGTCGTGCAACTCCAGGAGCATCAATTAGCCCTCTACTGGACCCTGAGGCAGAGGAGTGAGCAAACACCGTCCCGGACCTCATACCCTGACAAGACGCTGAGCGAAACTTGTAAGTTCTACCAAGAAGGTCGATCTTTTAACGGGGATGTGACCTAGTCTGAGAAGGTCAGAGGAGGATTTGCTGTGGAAATGATGCCTC